CTGGAACTGCGGATCAAATATACACTCGGAAGCCGAGTGCAAGGCCCTCACAAAGTGTCGCAACTGTTGGGTACCGGTGACTAATGAGCAGCTCGCGTGGATTCGCCAGATAGAACAAGGGGAGTTCTCAAAGGTGGCACGAGCTCGAGCAGCAGCAAAAAAGGCCGAAGAGGCGATCATCGCCGCTGCGGAGGACTTCTCGATGGCCGAGGCAATAGCTTTCGCAACGCTGGAATCTGAAGAAGTTTGTGGATTCAGCAACCTCGAAGATTTATCTTTTGGGGCTTTTACTAACCAAAGCAAGACGCCGGCTGGATCAAAGGTCCCTGCTAACCCATCTCTTGCTCTCAGTGGAGATGTGGTAAAATTGTCACTTGGAATGTGTGAGGAGCGCATTGCTTGGGTCTAATAATGAGGAATCTTCTGCCTTTCGGAGTTATTTTGAATTTCGCGATTTTTCGTTTCTGTTAATTAGCTGCACTTTTGGCAGCGATTCACGAGGTTGGAACGAGTGAGGATGTAGTAAAAGTTACAGGGAACCTTGCTGGCTCCACCGGTCCTTCACCCAATGTGGATAAAGAGCTTTAGCTTAGGACCTATTGAAATAAAAAAAATGCACACAATCTGAGAAATTGATGAAAGTTTGCCCTATCTACCCATTCCACCCCACAAATTCACATATTGTACATCTCTAAAACAATCTCTCGTAGTACCATGCCACTCAGCCTTAAAATGGCACCAGTACCCTCAAATTCCGCGAAAAATGCGAAAACTGTGTTAAACTCAAAAGTAGGAAAATATAACCAGCCGACGCTTTAAGAGGCGCAAAAGAATATGCTACGAATAGCAGGAAATGTAGTCAATCAAAATATGAAAGAAAGAGAACTGGCACCGAGCGCCACCAATCTCGACACGATGGAAGTCGACATTGTTGCACAGATGGAAGAACGCGGCCAAACCGTCAATATGATGTCGGAGGTGGAAGTCATAATTCAGGCTATGATCAAGAAGGGTCTAAAGGACTCCCGGTGGGCAGACGTAGGAGCTGAAAGCTTTTAGAAGGCGTCGAAGGTGTCGAATGTGTTGAAATATTATATATCTTAGAATGCCAAGAATAACTTATTTATAATTCCGGCTAATTAGACTATCAAATTACCCATCCTGTATCACTGTCATCAATACAGAAGAAAACGATCCCTGGATGAGATGAGGAGATGCTGAGATGAGCAAAAGCTGGGAATGAAGCAAAGGGAAAAGTTATAGATTGTGGAGGTGTCAAGGGTTTGGGCGCGTGGTGGCCGAGGCTGAGGAGGAATTTGCGCCTCGGCGCGCCAAAAGGGGGTTCTCTGGATGGTTGGACTTGATATGATTCAACACATGGGTGAAGTCTGAGGCGGTCCGGTCATTTAGGTGGGACGAGTTAGATGTACTTTACGGTAGTTAACCTGATCCAGCTCGGCCCCACCCGTGCTTAAGCTCCAGTAGGAGTGCAACAGGAATTACTATACCTAGCACGTAAATGAACAAAACAAAACAAAACTGTCATCAATACATCCTTCACTAAAAGTTTTATGTGCATTATTATTTATTTCAGACAAGCATTCCAGCAGATGACTATATCTCAAATGCAGGTTATAGTTTTCTCGGATCTATTACTAACACACATGTATTTATCTTTATATTCCTGGCTTATATATGAGTATGTACATAGATCTACATCTACAGGGATCATAACTTATGATCCATGGAGATTATTGGAAAATATACTCTGTACATTATTTTATGGATATATATTGGGTTGGATGGTTCAGTGGTACACCATCCGGAACGTTCTCTCACGTAGATACTGAGTAGCTTGACCACTTACCCCATTTGAGATAGAAGAAAGCTGGTTCGAGCCTAGTAAGAACCATACACCAATGTTTCTTGCGGTGATTTTGTACTTGTGGAATGATGAAAGCACACTCGGATAGCCACAGGTTTTTCACCCTTTTCCCTGCGGTGTGTATGCACGGAAGAGATTATACGCCGTAAGGGCTAACCTCGAGTGGTATCTGCAACTGAAATCTGAGTGAAAGTGTTCTAAACGTCAAATTAAGTCGTCCTACTTAAAGTACATATCTTCCGATATGAACCTGCAAAGGCCTTATGCCGCCAAATCAGGGTAATGAATCAAATATATGGATATATGATGAAGTAAAGGAGACTTAATACTGTACAACTATGGGAACATTGGACTTATATATATATCTTGAGGGAGAAATTCTCGCTGGTCTCATGTACTTGTCAGACCTAGTGATGACCAGCCACCTTATATCTAGCATGATGAGCCAAGGTACAATGCATTACGTAAATATCCAAACGTATATGCAACAATAGACGCACTTTGCGCACTCGGGACATGTGTTGTGATATCGCTAGTCAATGACCAGCTCTGCACCAACAGGTGCATATGCACGTCGTGCGCTGACCATGGATACAACTGCTGCTGCTCCTGAGTCTCGGACTTGGTAGCACCAGGTTGAGTCATTGCAGGGCAATGATTGGGGCAGTGTCATGATGAGTCTATTGATCACACACGCTAGCCATAAGCAGTTAGGTATCGCCGGGCAATTACGGGATAGCGCTCAGAGGTACATGCAGACCTAGCGCACTATCGGAACTATACAACTGCTTCCGCTCCTGAGTAATGGACTAAGGACTGCGGAGCTGAGACATGATATGGGAACAATTGGAGCGACGCTGTGGTGTGTATACAAGCCACAGGCGCGAACCATGGACTAGATTGCTGTCGTTCCTGAACAGCTAGGTTCAGGATCGCTCAGCTGGGATAATACACGTAAGTGATTGAGGCATTGCAGCGACGCGTACTTGGACCGCGCGCGCCAACCACCGGAACAGCGGATGCCTCTCATGAGAGATAGACTCATGAGCTGCAAAGTTTTACCTAGGCACGCCGTTGGCAGTAAGTCAGGAAAGAGAACGTAGACAATGACATGGGTCATATTAGAGTATATAAGTAGTCTATGTTCTGTCTCATGAACAGTATTGGAAAAGTATCAGACACCTGCCAGCAATCACATTACCAAGTATCAAACCATCTGAACAAACATTGTGACACATTCCAAGTAAAAATGTTCCCATTTAACTCATAACCTTAATAAAATGTGTAGAGAGAGCCGATCTTGTCGGGAACCTGAGACGAAACAGATAATGGTTGAGTCCTAAATTCGGAAGTCAGAATTTCCAACAGAGATTGATAAATACTGGTCAAAAACCACATTTGATAAGATATGCGAACGCCCAATCTCATTCTTATCATCTCGGTTTTACTCAGAACTATACATCTCATTACAATTGTCTCCACCCAAATCTTTCTTCCACAACCTTATACAAGACTTACTGTATCAATCTAACTAATATAAGATAAAGGATCACTGAAGGCAGAGCGGAGTATAATGGACAGATTAATTTAGTTATGTGAAAATGGGTATTAATTACGCCCTCAGGGCTCCAAACATGCAATGAGCAAGGCAGTGTAGGTGCTCGAACATGAAACACCTACTTGTGACATGAATGCCAATCTAGTCTTGGCATTACTCAGCACACACCCACACCTCATGTATATAGAGCTCGCTGTAGAAACTCCTATTTCTCCTTCCATAGCCAATCTATCTTACATTCCCAAGGCTGCCTCTCTACCATTTTCATATCTCGTGATTGTATTAACATATACTTTCTAAAAAGTGGTAAATGTCGGATCAATGTCAGTAGTTCATGATGTCACGTGGTTACATCATGTGACATACTTCCATTAAATCTTCCTGTAGCATTGAAGAGAGTAGAGAATACACAAGAAGAATCATTGACGACATACTGCTAGCAGTTACACAGTGACTACGCCTACCAACACTGATCAGTGTTGCCTCAACATAGGCAACTCAGATCCGCAAGGTGGAAGAGACTTATTGTTGAGATGAAATAATTATTGATCTATTAATTAGAGTAAAATTGCATAAGAAAACTATTACGAACTATTACTATCTTATATACATAATTAGCAGTCCACGAGTGATCTAGTTCTTCAACGACGGTGCAAGTGTCCTCTACTGGTACCCTGATAGAAGTGAGTGATCTGTCTTCCTGCCTCCCGTTTAATGGCGGAAGATCAGCATCATGTGACTGACATCTCTTTCAACCTAACACCACACAAATGTTCTACCTAGCTGGTAAACACTAACAGCCAGGTAAATGTATGACTCATTTGCTATTTAGCTTATACTAACATTGTATATTCTAGGTTTCAACACTTATATCGCGACTGTTAAAGATTTAATCTGTCCATAACTCTGAGCTTGATGATGGCCAGCAAGACAAAGAATATTATGAACTGTCATCTAAGATAAAAGGGCGAAAAGGGCATTAATTAAAAGATAGGACCGATATAGTAAGGGGTGATTAGCCCAGAGTAGGTATGGGCATTGTGAATGTAGTCGAGAGAATCCTCATATTAAAGATGAGTCAAGTGCGCGATAGATATATACACGTGTCATATCCCTGTCACTAATTACCATCAATCTCTGCTATCCATCGCAATCCCGAGTATCAAAATGAGTTACTATTATACGGTATGTTTGTATGGGTCGACACCAAGATAGAAATGTTAACAGCAACATCTCCTACTAGGTAGGACGCCCTGTTGCAATTGAGTGCTACAAACGCGACGACAAAAGCATCCACTGTAAACTCAGTGGCACTACGTTCTAAATTGGCGTTCTTTTGATGAGAGTGAAAGATATCTCTTCAAAAACAGAATCCTACCACACAATCAAAAGATTTTTTCTCTCGAAGTTCATTTGGTTGTGCCGACTTACACCAACAACCACCTCACTGCTAGTTTTTCGCTATCCCCTCACATCCAACCCATTCCCCGAACATACCATAGGCTAATCTCTTGACCTAGAATAAGAGAATTTAATTTTTTTTAAATAACCATTAAGATGAGCAACATAACGGAAGACGAAGGCAGATTTAATGACGCCAGAAAGGATCAAAAGACATTATCATGTCTAAAAGAGATCGGCCTCCCTCAGACGGCAACTAAGTTCATCGATATTGATCTCGTTGGTGAACCGCTAATTCTCACCAAAGCTACTCCCATTGAACTAAACACAAAAATCTTTGATTTTATGATGAACAATCAGAGCACGGTTGACAAGGAGCTGCTTTTTGACTTTCAGGAGGAATTCGGTGAATGGAATAAGTTAGAATACAATAAGACATCACCAGTATTGAAGAAACGTCTTAGAACCTTTCTCAGAGAACATGGTCTCTACCCCGGACCCCTCAAAAGACACATCGTCCCGCAATTAATAGGCTTCCTTGGTATTGATGAACTGCCTGACTGGGACTATGAGGAGCTCTCAAGGAGCCGTGTTTATCAGTATTTCGTAGGGTACGAGTTTGGTACAAGTAGGTTACAGGTGTGGAGTATGGTGGCGATTCCTAAGAGTAGGAGGTATAGAGTCAGCGTTAGGTATAGGGTTCACGGAAGAGGTAAAGGTACAATAAGTAGTAGGTGAGAAGGGTACAATAACGGCAGTCTTCTTTAGAGAAGAGATAAGTACGTGAACAATAGGTATGAGTATAAACAGAAGACGTTGCGTGAAGAAGAATACACCTTCACGCTGGGTATATATGTACATCAGATAATAGGACAGCCCTAAGCTCTGTCTCAAACAGTATTACTACGCAATCCCTATGAAACGACCCTATGTTCCTGAGCCTGTCCTAATTATTTGAGAACTTGACCTAACCCCGAGTTGTGTTTTAGAATGGAACTCCCCATGAGACACCATCCTAGTTTCCGCCACGTTTATCCATGAAAGGAGCTGAGGGCAATGACAGACATCCACCACAAATCTCTGGTACATTATTCTCGATATCAGACTTTATCGGCTCTAAACTTAATCCCTTCGTCAATTCAAGACCAGAAAGTTCCAATCATTAATACTACAGCCACTAAATTGCCACCAACAATCCAAGCAGGTCAGAGATTGATACAGAATCAATCTCGCACAGTACACCCGACCACATATCAATTTCAGAGGGCTCCGACGCAGATAGGGATAATGCCAAATGACTTGATGAACCCACAAATACCGATCAAAAACGAGATGGACCTGGATGATGTTACTAACGTCCTCGCCTACCAAACTGTCCCACCTCTTATCTTCTTGAGTCAGGAACCAGAGCCCAATACAGTCACAGCTTTTAGTAAGATTTGGGACAAAATTTACAGCTATAGTGGCGATCCATACAATATCTTTGATGATAAAATTCGGTATTTTATGAGCAGAGCCAAGATAGCACAAATCAGACCATCACAAATGCATTCAATTTTCCCAATGATACTTTCCAAGCGTGCGCAAGAGTAGTTTGTCTACAATGTGCTTTTTTCAGATACATTTGCTGCTATGTACCATAAGATTAAATCGCACTTTGATGTAGAAATCAATCACCACCAGTACTATACCATCTTGACTTCCATGACTTTCGGGACTATGGTGGAAGATCCACCGCATCATGGCAAGACAAAGTTTGATGTGCTCACAGCACTTCTAGATAGGCTGCAATTGTGCCAACGCGCCCTTGGTGAGAGTTTTGCAGGAGACTCACAGCTTAAAATCAAGACCAAAGGTGCTTTCAAGGGAGTTCCAGACTTCGAAATGGCTCTGTACGACCCACCCTTAACATTTGAAGCTTTGGCGTCCAAGCTACAATCCTTTCTCAAGATCGTAACCAACAGGGAGCAGTCACAGTACTTTCAAGAGCAATAGTTCTATACTGACCACCGGTTTTACGGAGGGCATCAGTGTAGTCAACCAAAGAATCGGGGGGATGATTGGGAAAAGTCACAGGGCTATCAGAATTCGAACAAGAAGTGCTGGGTCTGTGATAAACCTCGCTGCTGGTCGACAAACCATACCGAAAGCGAACAGAAGCGTGCTCGCAAACGGTACAGCATGACTCAACAATATGAAGGACGCAAGAGTGGGAACAGACAATATATGACTGTTTAATGACTTAACAATCCAATGATCAATATGTATTTCCTTTGAACTAATGACTAATTGTGTTGATGAGTAATGAGGTACCCGTTTGGGAATGGCGTTAGGAGACAGGGGGTTTTACAGTTTATAGATGTTTCCTTCTAGGAAGACAGGGGGGAGAGATCATCATATGTGTACAATAATTATTAATGCTACATCAAGCTTGTGATATAATACCACTCGAGTATTCCGACACTGATCAGTTTTTCGAATTCAGATCAGAATACCTATGAAGAGAAAAACTACAATTGCCAACTCCTTACACAATACTTTGATGGAAAAAATACCATCTGAATGGGCTTTTGATGAGGTTTCCAATTCAAACGAAACTTTTAATTTGGTTAAAATTTTACATCTCATGAAAAACAGCACATCCAAACAACCGACTCTTGTAAAAGATAAAGTAACCTCTTTCTCGACAACTTCAGCCGACACTGCCTCGAACAAATATCAATCTAACTCGCTTCCATCCTCATCACAACCACCTGCCGATTATGCAGGAGAATTAGCAAATCTTTCGAAGATGTATGAGCCTGACTTGAAGTACCATGGCGAAGATGATACGTTTGATTTCAAGATAAATATCTTCATGGAATTATGTGAAAAGTCTGGGATACCAGAACAACTACATGCGAAAGCATATTCGACTATACTTAGCGGCCCGGCCCTAACTCACTACTATTCTATCACATCAAACAGACATTGGAAGGATTTTGATAATTTGTGCACTGCAACAAAAGAATATTTCGAAGGTCCAGAAGCAAAACGAAACAGGTTAGCCAGATGGGAAGCTCTCTCCTTATCCCGAGTCATAATGGAAAATGAAGGCAAAGGCAAATCAGTCCAAGAATGCCTAATGCTGCTGGTAAAAGAACTTCGATTTTTGCAACTAAGTTTCGACCCTGAGTATAGGACAGACAAGCATCTACACCTTAAACTCATAAATGCTTGTCGAGGAGTCCAAGCTTGTCAACTTGCATGCTTTAAGCCAATTGAGACTCTAAGCGGTTTATTAAACGACTTCCAGGCGTCAATATCAACAGCAGAAGCAAACAATGAGGTGTGTACAACGCAACTTTTCACTGACCGGCGTTTCCATAAAGCTAATAAATTTAACACCAACCGACCATCACTAAAACCACCCATAAATTGACACACAAGCCAAACACAGCCTTCTAACAAGAGATGTTACGTTTGTAACTGTCAGGGGTGTTGGTCGCACAATCATTCGACCGCAGAGCAAGAAGAAGCTAGAAATAGTTTCAAGAAAAAACTGCTGCAACGTTTTGAAAAGAAAGCCGAACAATTTATTGCGGAATTGGAAGGACACCACAACGAGGTTGAACAAGAGGAATCCGACCTAGAATTCAAAATGGACACTCTAATTTTAGAAACGAACTCACCTACTGATGACATCAAGGGGCAATCACACTTTGACAAATCATTTGTTACATCTATGGGATTTCTCGAAAAGACCCAAGAAATTTTTTCGGCCCTTGCTGATAACTCTTTTGTTCACTCTCTGACTGGTAAAGATCAAACGCCTACAATCTGTGAGCCACACACTGACCCAATGTTACGGCCTTGTATTCCTGACCCTCGGGGCCTCTAATACTATTGTTTCTTTCAGGTATTGTGTTGTGATCCTACATACGCACGGACCAATTGTAAATTATGTATATATGTATATCTCTAGATACCTCTTGTTATTTTCTTCCCTTAGTTTAGAATCTTTTGAATTATATTCCAGATCTGAGTCCTTATCTGATTTGACTTGTTCATCTGCTAACCTGTGCTCCCTTCTGGTTGTCACACCCAACTATATTTATAAATCCAGGAAGATACAATGATACCTATTTTTATGGAATTGTTATTGATACTGGTGCATCGAAATATTCCACAGCAGGCTACAAATAATTCTTGGCGCTCAAGAAAATTTCAAACGCTTATCTAGATGAGACAAAAGCTGGGTTGATTAAAGTACAATTTGGTATAGGTTCTAGTACATCAATAGGTACTACCAACTTAGACACTCCAATCGGAAAGATTGAGTTTCATATTGTTCAAGCAGACACGCCATTTCTGTTGTGGTTATGAGCTGTGAGGTATATAGCAATTATGTCTCTGCTGTCTGTCGGTGGAATTACACGGGCTCATGTGCAATGGTGAGTCGCGGAGATGGCGCGCTCACGCTGGGTGATGGCACAATGGACACTGAGTGCGTATCACTGTGGCCAAATGGGTGTCAGTAGGTATCAAATGTGAACTCTTACTGACAATGGTGATCTATGAAGGTGATGCTAGATGTGCATGCCGACAATTGATAATATCATCTAATGGATGATGTGAAGTATGATATTATTTTGGATAGATTAATTCACTAAACTCGGCAGGTGAAGAGATTGTAGAGTACATGAACAGCGTCTGTGCACCAGCCTGTATTTTCCACCCTTTCCTAATCCAGCAGCCCATCCTCCGTTCCCCTGTCTCCTAACATCTCAACCGAGCCAGCACAACAGTTAACTACTATCTGCCTGTACTTGATCCTTTGATCGCCGCTGTAGAGTCACACCGAGTCAAGTACCCGCGAAGTATGTTTACCAACTATCTGGGCAATATTGGATACAATGCTTGGAAGATGGAAATGAAGCTTTTCTTCGAAGAGTTTTCGGGGAACTTCCGACAAGGGCAAGCCCAAGTTAGGACATACTTTAAGTGTACTGGAGGAGAAGCGAAGACAACTATCCTGCAGCATATGGATCACGAATTCGGTGGAGTATTCAATGTAGCAGAAGATGTCCTCAAAGCCATGGATCAATGTTTTTTTGACCATAATCATGTGCAAGCTGCAAAATCCAAGTACCATCAACTTATCATGGGCAGCATGACATACGACGAGTTCCGCAAAAATTTCACAAACAATGCGAGTACTGCTAAGATTGCGCAATCCTGTTGGTTTGAGGATGTCTGTGATAAAATCTCCCCGGCCTTGAAACAAGATGTCAGGATCGAGAAGTACAAGATGAATGGTAACTACGCGATCTTCGACGAATTCCTAGCCATTGCTGATCGCGAATCTCGCAACATCGCTTTCGAGGAGAGCCAGCTGGCCCGCAAGGCGGTTGTTATTCCTGCCGAAGATCGAGGACGTAACCGCTACGCCGGAATTCTCAAGAAGGACAATTGGCGACCGAGCTCACTTGTCGGTCCCTCGACTTCCGGCACTGGCCTTTCCAATGTCCGTCTCCACTCGTTTCCGCAATTGTGAGCCCTGTCCTCTCGACCCCAGCTGATGATTGCCGACTTTGTCACAAGTCCGGGCACTGGATGCGAGACTATCCGGATGTTCTGAGGCATCGACAGATGGAAAAGAGGATCGCAGCCCTACAGTTGGACAAGGACGAAAGATCAGAAGATCTTTCAAAAAACTGTTAAGCCGTGGTAAAGACTCCCACTACAGTAAGGGCCATGATTTGTGGAAGGACTTGGAGTTTGATTATTGTTCTCTATTTGGAGGACGCCAGTTTCTGGCTAATATAGAACTAGCTAGAAATGGAAATTATATCAAAACAAGTGCACATATTGATGGTGGAGCAAATATCTTTGGTGCTATTAGTACCTCTTTGGCCTCCCAACTTCTCTCATTGTTCCGAACCTCATTTCTTACCCTTCCTAAGCCAATCGTCCCCACTGGCTATGACGGCCATTCTGGGAAACCGATCACTTCGGCCGTCCTCCTCACACTTACCATAGATAAACGCCGTATCAACTTCCCTTTCCTGGTTACAGACCTAGGTGGTACCGACATTCTTATTGGTCGAAAGTTTTTAGAACACTACAATCTCAAGCTGGACTACGCTGGATCAAAGAATCGGATACACTGGCCAGATGACATGCCAGTTATTAATTACTATGATCGCCGATTGCTTCTCTGCATTGACAAGGCACCTCGCAATACCAACGCCGAACATCAAGCAGACGTCGCCCGACGAGACAGCCAGATGGAAGCCGCCGAGGAAGCAGAACTCTCGGGGGTGCAGCTTACCAGTGACCCCAGATCACTAATCAGTTACGCCAATGGTAAGCCCTCGAGAGTGAAAAAGTTTCGCATGCAACCCCAGCCTCGAAGACCATCATGCTTCTTGAGAGAAATGCGGAACCGCCTATCTAGGATGGAGGAGTCGCTCCAGAGATCAAGTCCCTACGGTCATTCCACGAGTGATCAGAGCCATGGGCCAGAACTACCAGCCGAATTGCCCACCCAGTCTCCAGAATCGAAACTACACAGCAAGTACTCGACCAACATTTCCATGATCTCAGCGTCATCAATGCATCGGTTCCATCTAAGAAGCCCGGCCCAAAGTTTCCGGGACTCCCATAGAAAGGAAAATTATACCTTTGTTGCTTTGGTTAACCAAATGGACATAGAGATCAAGCGAAGACAGGATGAATTAAACTTCCAAAACAAAGTTGAGATCGCGGCCCTTGATAGTAAACCATCACCTAAGATGGCTTTGGAGGCCAAATACCAATCAGACGAGGATATGGTGAAAGACAAACTCATGTCTCAATACCAAGCTTTCCAACACCTCTTCTCTCGGAGAGCCTCAGATGAGCTCCCTTCCCATAGACCCAATGTTGATCACAAAATCGACTATCAAGGTGGAAACAACTTGTCTATGGAGCCACTACGCCGGATGACGGATGAACAACTCTCAGAAACCAAG